TCGTTGTCCATAAAGATGCTTTTGGATTTTCAGTGGTTACAAATTCCTTCAACAATGTTGTTCATGACTCCAAACATATAAAGAAGAAACTTCCAGGTAACTGAAACAAACACAAAATCCTTGTAATTGGTTTTGCTGTTTCTTAACTTGATTCATTTTTACCACTTGGCTATGAAACCTGAGGTGAATGAGTAGTTCATAAAATAACTAACTGCCTGTGCAGCTGTTTTCCCTAAGCAGAAGAGGCCGTGTAGCTCAGAGCTTGCAGTAAGAGCATGCTGCATCTTTTTTGTAATAGTTTGTCTAAATAGTTTGTAATTGCTTTTGCCACATAAAAATGGGAAATTTCTTATCTGGCAAGTCACTATACAAAGAGTGATCAAAATACATGGTGAATGTATAAATTAAAAAAAAATTTTAAAACATTTTAGTAAAACACATTGGCAATAGTCTCCCTAGTGGTATTTCTCCTCACTTTGAACACACTTATCCCATCATGGTTGCCACTTTCTGAAGCAATTCTAGAAGTCCTCTTTCCTGTTGTTATAAGATATGATTAAAAAATACAGAGAATGTTGGGCCAGGTACCATCGGACAGAAAACCAAGATCATAAAGACATTATGGTGTGTTTTCACCTATCTTACTCACCAAATCTGGCACCGTACAACTTCTAGCTCTTCCCCAAATTCAAAATGACTGTAAAGCCAGATGTGGTACATACCTGTAATCCTGTACTTGGGAGGCTGAAGCAGGAGGATCAATGAGAGTTCAAGACCATCCTAGGCTAGCTACATAGTGAGTTCAAGATCACCCTGAACTATATGGTGAGACCATGTCTCAAAAAAAGAAAGCTGGGTGTGGTAGCACTCCTGTAATCCCAGTGCTTGGGAAGCTGAGGCAGGAGGATCTTTACAAATTCAAAACCAGCCTAGTTACAAAGTGAGCCCAAGGCCATCTGGGACTGCATAGCAAGACACCGTGTCATCAACAACACAAAGAATGATGGAACAAGGGTGTTTAAAGCAGGAGGGATTATTTTGAAGTAAATTAATGGCAATGTGTCTTTTACTGTAATACACACACATATGTTTTGTTTTGTTTTTGTTTTTTGTTTGCTTGTGTGTGTGACAGGATTTTGCTGTGCAATTCAGACTGGCCTTGAGCACACTGTGTAGCCAAGGCTGGCCTCAAATTCCTGATGATCCTCCCAAGTGCTGGGATTACAGGCATGCACCACCATGCCCAATCTACTATAACCTATTTTTTAATTGAAACATGCACGTACATTTTAAAAATCACATCTTGCAAATACAGTTAAAAGACAGTCTACAGGTTAGGAGTCTTTGTAATATATATGATAGACAATGGATTCATATTTATAACATATATATAGAAAGTTCCTACAAATCATTAATAAAAGAATAAACCTAATAAAATGGGCAAAGAATGCAAATAGCAAGTCATAGCATAGCAAACAAACTTCATTTAAGGAATTACTCTTATACATAGGTTTATCTAGGCAATGATGTTCACTGTGGTGATAAATATCCATGAATAGGGATAAATATGAAGTTCTGTGTGACTATTAAAACAATGAAGCATGTTCCTGTGTCACCGAAGAAAAGCAAGTATAGAGCAATATGGATGCTGGTCGAAGGTTCCCAGTTGTGGGGGTTTTTGTTTTTTTGCATTTGGTACTGGGAATCAAACTCGTGACTTTGTGCTTGCCTGGCAGACACTGTGCCACTGAGATACATACCTGGTCTCCCAACTTTTGACTCAGGATGTATATATCCTGTTGTAAAATTTATTGCTGGATACCTTTATGTTGACAAATATCTGGGCGTGGTGACTCACACCTGTTATCCAGCACTTGGGAGGCTGAGGCAGGACCGATATGAATTCAATGGGCTACATAAATATAAGTTCAAGGCCAGCCTGTACTATATAGGACGATCCTGTCTCAACAAAACAAAACACCAGAAAAATTAAGGCTATATTTTTCCTTTTCCTTTTTTCTCTTTCTTTTGAGACAGAGTCGTCTGTGTAGTTCAGGCTGACTTCAATATAGCCCAGGCTGACCTCCTGTATCAGCCTCCTGAATGCTGGGGGTGCAGGCATGAGCTGTCACACCCAGTTTAAGGCTAGTTTTCAAATGATGTCATTAGTGAATTAAGTGTTAACTTTTGCTCTCCTCTTAAGGAAAATAGATTTATTCTCCATCATTACCTCCCCCTCTCTTTTTCAGCTTAATCTAGTATTACAAATTTTTCCCTAGGGAATAAAATGTAGGGAGCTCTCACTACTACTACTTTCTTCACAGGAACTAGAAAGGTTCTAAAGGGACCATTTTGCCTGCTGTTACACCTTTTGTTGTGATGAAGGAAGGAACTCAGAGCTCAGGATTCTGTGTTGCTGGGGTTTGCCTGTTTTTGGTGTTCACTGGCTTGCAGAACTCTTGCCCTCCTGTGTTGCAGAGGTCTCCCTGTGGGGGCCGTACTCACTCCATCCCCTAAAACAGGAAAGGGAAACCTAGTGGTGCAGGGAGTCGAGGCTCAGAACTGGCCTAGGCCACGGGAGAAACTTGTTCCTTGCATTTTCCTTGTCACTTTTTTGGAGGGACTTCCTAAGCTGGTTTTAATCTTGTTCTCAGGTCTCCACCAAGGTAGGTATAGGAGTATTTGAAGTTCATTGTCATTTTATTTACCTTGTCACTAGAATTTGAGACTGTAGAGTGCTAGCCTAGAAACAGGCATTCCATCATAGCAAGTGGCATGGGGATTTAAACCCTCTTGTCTTTCCAATAATAGGCAATACCTTTGGCACAGGAGCATTGCTTTCCTTCCTTAATCACAGTCTTTGCGTCAATAGACTTATGGGAATTGTTTTAAACTTGTTATATAAGCTTTTCTCTGAGCTGGAGAGTTTACATAGAGTGGTGTAATAGAAATTAAAACAAAAACTGAATTGGCTAGTTCTACTTATAGAGGGGTGGTATAATTCATAGGCCTAAGGGCGGAAAATCATTATATTCCATTTATCACTACAGAATGGTGGTGGTAAAGTTCAAAATTTTTTGTTCCTTGGTGCTGATCAAGGGTGGAACCTGGAGTGTATGGTTTATAGAACACCTGATTCTAACTTGGAAAGGGAATGGGGGGCTAAATTGCTTTAAGTGACATAAAGGGAATTTAGCTTCCTGAGAGAAGAGAATATTTCCCCTGCTACCAGTGTTAGGTGCATGTTGTAAGGATGAAGGTGTGGTAATGTAAGACCCCTCTATCCCTTCATATCTTCAGAGAAGTCTGATGAACACATTATTTGGAATGTGTATACTTGTATTTTTCCTTTTTTGTAAAGCATGGAAAAAGAAAGGTGGATTTCACATCTGGGACAATTAAAGCAGAAGGAAAAGACCAGCTTCAGGAGGTGAGATGCTGGTGAGATGAAAACTTCCCCAAAAGCGGGAGTTACAGCCAAAGGGATTTCTAAAGGTATTAGTTGCTGGGAATTTGAAGATTCTAGGAAAGCCATTGGAGTTCTCACAGAATTTGGGATAGGGATCCAGGCAGGTTTGTTTTTTTTGTTTTGTTTTGTTTTTGTCTTTTTGAGACAGGGTCTTGCTGTACAGTTCAGGTTGACCTTGAACTCACTTTGTAGCCCAGGCTGGTCTTGAACTCGCAATGATCCTCCTGCCTCAGCCTCCCTAGTGCTGGGATTACCGGCATGAGCCACCACGCCCTGCTTGATCCAGGCAGTTTTAAAAGCATGCCCCAGGGTAGGATGGGTGCAGCTGACATCTAATTGTTGTGCTGTGTACCTCAGAATGTTTAACAGTGGTTCCCCAAGATTCTGCTCTGTCGATACTCCAGCAGCTAACATGTTACAGTACTCCTTTTTGCCCAGCAGAATCTATTTTCAGTTCAGACTCATAAAGGAAAGCAAAACTTTCCAACAAAGGATTCTGTCACACTCTGCTCTCCTTATCAGTTGTGAAGAATTTGAAGACCCCCAGTCCTGCCGTTGTTGAGTTTAAAGGGATTTGGGGAAAGTCTCCTGCAAAAACCTTGGGACTTTAAGATTGCTCTGAGTAAGGACCTAAACATACAGTAACACTCGAGGAAATATCCTAAATCAAAAAGCCAAGGTCTCCGAGTAGCTGGAGTACAGACAGTAAAAATGCAACTAGTGCTCCACTGAACACTAGCGCTGCTCTTGCTCACCTCGGAATGAGAGCCTGCTTGATGGAAGAGCCCACTGTAGTCTTTTTTTTTTTTAAATTAGTATTTTTTGTCTTTTTAAGACAATGTCTCACTACGTAGTCCAGGCTGGCCTTGAACTTGTTTATGTAGCTCAGGATGGCCTTAAACTCACAGTGATTCTCTCATACATGCCATCATACTTGGCATTAGTATGTGTTTGCAGTACATAATATTTAGATTCCTTGTATAGAATTGGTATATATACATATCACATCTTAATGTCTTTTCTCACTCTTTCTTCCCCAATCTCGATTCCCTTCCTATTTGAGAAAGATCTATTTTCTTATTACCTATCATCTATCCTTCATTTTACTCTTTATTTATAATGTATTCTTTTTTTTTTTTTTTTTGTACCAGGCAGTAAACTCACAACCTCATGCTTGCCAGGCAGATGCTTATGCTGCTGAGCTAAATCCCCAGCCCAATTTGATTTAATCTTAATATCCACTGTCACGGTAAACTTTGAAGAAAGTAGAGGTCACTGGGCTTTGACTGTCCAGCATGCATTCTCCTTTTTGAGTAAGAACACTTTGGTTGCTTTGGGGGGCCACTGTGCTAGTCATTCTGAGAGAAGGGTCTGGTGGGGTAAGTCCGTCCCTTGGAGAACACTGGACTGTGCCAGTCAGAGAACTACAGGGGACAAGGGCTTGGGTTCAGGGCCAAACCAGGCTAATCAGGGATTTCTTGGTTTTTTTGGAACTGCTGTATTAAGAAGTACATTTGTGTTCCTCTTTCAGCTGGGCTTCATGTTGCTGGGGGACCATTGTGCCACTCTGGTGGGAACACTTGCCAACAGAGATGAAGCCTGAACTGCAAGACAAGAGAAATGGAGACTATATGACAGCTTTTGAGTACCTGGATCTTACCACGCCTTAAACTAGTGAAACCATGGATATTTCCTTTACATGGATCTACACCTTCTTTTTCATTCTCCATCTCTTAATGAGAATTTGACTTGAATTTTTGTCACTTGTAGCTATAAGTGCCTTAATTAATCAATGACATAAAATATATATAGTTCTCTTTTTTTCCTTTTTTTGGTACTAGAACTCGAACTCAGGACCTTGCACTTGTCAAGCAGGTGCTTATGTTGCTGAGCTATATTTTTAGCATATATATTATTCTCATGACAGTGTATGGTTCAGCCTTTTTCAAAAGATCTTTGTTTTTTTAAGATGGGTGAGGTGGCACACACCTATAATCCCAGCACTCAGGAGGCTGAAACAGGAAAATTGCTATGAGTCCAAGGCCAGTCTGGGCTACAAAGTGAGTGCAAGACAAGCCTGAACAACATAGTATAACCCATCTGAAAAAGATAGAAAACAACAGACAAACAAAAACAGAACAGTAAAAGACACATCGCCACTATTACACTTGAGAATATTTGCCTTTACTTCAAACAGACTTTTTGGGGAGGGAGGAGAGTTTGAGACAAGGCTTGCTACATCGTTCAGGCTGACCTTGAAGTCATTATGTTGCCCAAAATGACCTTGAATTCGTGGTGATCCTTCTGACTCAGCCTCCCCGGTGCTGGAATTACAGGAGTGTAGCGCCATTCCTAGTGTTTCTGACACACTTAACACAGCATTCTTGCGACTTTCTGGAGCAGTTCTTAAAGTCTTCTTTGCAAAAAGTGATTTAAAATACAGTGAATGCTGCTGCCAAGTGCCATCCAATCAAAAGACAGTCTTGGGGCTGGGGATTTAGCTCAGCGGCATAAGCGCCTGCCTTGCAAGCAGGCAGTCGTGAGTTCGATCCCCGGTACCGATAAAAAAAAGACAAAAAAAAAAAAAAAAAAGACAGTCTTGTAAAAACATTACTGTGTGGTCCATCCACCTTATTCATTGGATCTGATACCAGAGTTAAAATGACCATGAAAAGTAGATGTTTTGAATTGATTCGGGACATTGAGGCATCCATGATAACATGAAATAAGGAGACTTCCAGAACTGCCTCAGAAAGTGACAGGGGAGCTTGGGCATGCTGGTGCATTCCTATAATCCTAGCACTCAGGAAGCTAAAGCAGGAGGATCACCAGCCTGGAGTACAAAGTGAACTGCATAGTGAAACCCTGTCTGCAAAAGAACCGCACCCTCCCCCCAATCGCAGAATGGCAAAATGATGGGATGTGTTCAAAAGCAAGAATATTTTGAGGGGAATTATTTCAATGTGTCTTTTATTTTTTTGGCACTGAACTCAGGACCTCACATTTGCCAAGTTGGTGCTGTGCCTCTGAGCTATATCCCTGGCCCCCTATTTTAATATATTTTTTTAATTAAAATTTCACCATGTTCTATTATCACACCTCATACAGTTGATGCAGAGTGTACTGCTATCTTGATTTGTGGGTTAAGGCACAGCATAATTGGCAAAGCCATGGAAGGAAACCTTGACCCCTATGGATCTCTCCTGTATTACCCACAGCCCCAGTGTACACCAAGAATTTTGTCTCAAGGAGGTGGCTAATTCCTATTTGATTATCAATCCCTTTATCACAACATTAATTGTTTTTTGTTTTTTTGAGACAGAGTCTTGCTGTGTCGTTCAGGGTGGCCTTGAGTTCACTGTCTCAGTCTGGCCTTAAACTCACAGTGATCCTTAGCCTCCTGAGTGCTGGGATTATGGCCATGCACCATGTATACCCAGCATATCACTAATTCTTGTGTGTTTTTTTTTTTTGTTTGTTTGTTTGGGTTTTTTTTTTGTCTTTTTCCTTTTTATTGGTACTGGGGATTGAACTCACGACTGCCTGCTTGCAAGACAGGCGCTTATGCCGCTGAGCTAAACCTCCAGCTCCCAATTCTTGTGTTTTGATTGGAGCATTTTATTAAAACATGCGGTAGTATGGTTCTGCCGCAATATTTGGAAAACCTTGCAGAGAAGGTTTTGTACCCAGAAAGTCACTTTATTGCTCCTGTGTCTTTATAAAACCACTTGTTTCCCTGGGGTAGTCCACTCTCCCATCAGCTCTTGCAGGAATGTGTTGGAAACTGTAGGAAAGCCAAGACATCAATGAGGGAAAAGTCCTGGCCTACAGAGACTTTACTCCTTAGCCTAAAACGCAACTACTGTAGTATAGGGGCTCACTCCTTAAGTACTTCTGAGTGGAGCAGCCTTCAAGTTTGACACCCCCTGCCCAAACCAGAAATTGACTTTCAGTTTGTTCCCCTGCCTGCTTTCCCTAAGGAAGGGGAGTGTTTGCTAGAGTGCTTGTAACTTTCACTGGCAATTGACAGTTTACCAGTCACTAAAGCTGCCAAAGGCTTTTGTGCTATAATAATCCTTTTCCTGTTTAAAACTCCAGGGATTTTTTTATTGTTGCCAATAGTTTTTCAAGTCAGCAATTACATTGTAGATTATGTAATTCCTGGGTATTAAAAATAGAAAAGACCAGGGTTTGCCTCTATTTTAACCAAATCAAAATAGAGCAAAGGAAGGAGAGAGAGGGGAAACCCGAGGAGGGGAAAAAGGTCATGTGAGAAGCAGTGAGACCCTGTCCTGTGACCGGATAATACAGGGTAATTTACAGGGCCTTTTTCTGTTGTGACTGATGGGATGCACTCCCTTTCCTTAGCCTATTTCTGGGAGTCAAGTTCTGCCAAGAAGTCCTTTTAGTCCTGTGGATATTCCTTAGCTCAGACTTGTTATCTTTATCAGCTTCTGTTAAGCAAAGTGACTACCAAAGGAGGGATTTGAATTTGATGGTTTCTCAAGTTCAGATTTTTTGGGTCTTAATTTTAGGATCTTTACAGTCAGTTTGTTTCTGTTGTTGCAGTGATGGAATGAAGGGGTAGCTTATGTGAAGAGTCTTTGGCATCTCAAATATTTTAGTCCCTTGACCCAGACCATCCCAAATAAATATTCAGTAAAATATAAAACCATGTATTATCTATGAAAACACAGCTTCCAGATAGAGCCTCTAATTTTCTCACGTCCTGCCCTATCATCTGCTCCCTGAATCGCCTCTTCTAGGCCTCTGACCTAAGAATTCCAGCACTACCCCTAGTTCTCATGTGACCTTGTATCAGTTCCTTCGCCCTTACTCTGACTTAAGGGATATTTGCATTTTTCTAGAGACCTTTGGAGTAACTAACTACAAGAGCTTAAATGGTAGAATCTTAGGTGCCACATGGGTTCGAAGCTGGAAGACATCTAAAGGCATGACAGATCACATCAAATCATATCAGGCTTCCTACAGTGTCTCCCCCAGAAGCACCTATAGAGGGAGGTTTTCGGTTAATCATGTGTAATGTAGTTGCTGAGTCTGGATAGAGGCTTTGCAGAAAGAACTTTACCTTCTACTGGTGGCAGAATGGTGGGTACTGTGAGAAAATAATTTCCAAAAACTGAACCAAAAAAGATTGATTGAGTTAGAGATCTGAAAGCTTTGGCTATCAGTTGACTCATTTGCAGATGAATACTAGAAAGTTGTATCCTCATCGTTCCTCATGGTAGCTTCTTCATTCATATGCTTACTCCATCACACTCCTTTTTCAGAACCACCATCTGTACTGGGGTGGGAGAGTGCCAGTAGCTCAGAATGACACTGGTCCCAGGTCCACCTGACTTCACCATTCCTCACCCAGCACTGCCCAACCTATTGGCACTGCAGTGAAAGGAAGAAAGTGCCAATTGTGGATCTCATGGGTCATTTCATGAGAGAGGAGGGAAGAGCTAGGGGCCTGCCTTAGGGAGTTTTAATCATAGTACCCTGGTTGTGAAGTGCCAATGATGGGGTACCTCTTCTAGTAGGATTTTAGTTCTCTGACACTTGAGTTCATATCCATGCCCACCAAAGGCTGAATTCTGTAAGGACCATCAAACATGTGGCATGATCTAGATTTTAATCTGTCCAACTGACTATGTCCCTTCATGTACTTGAACCTGCCTGGTTGAGGGTCATGACTTTGGGTGTGGTCAGTGCCACTGAAGGATTAGTTTTTCTGTATCTGGACAGGGTACCCACTCCAAACTGTCCACATCAGCCAAAGTTGGAGGTCACTGAGAATATCTGCTTTTCGCATCCCACCCCATCTCCCAGTTTTTGGGTAAGGTAAGCAGCCCACTCAAGCACTTGCCTTAGGGACTTCAGTGAATCGAGTACCAAATCATTGGCAGCATTCACCAAAGAATCCTTTCTGCTGGGGCTGGGGATTTAGCTCAGAGGTATAAGCGCCTGCCTTGCAAGTGTGCGGTGGTGAGTTTGATCCCAGATACCGATAAAAATGAAAAAGAACAAAAACAAAAAAAAAACCCTTTCTGCTGATACACAGTCCTCTCATAACTTGCCATCGACATCATGGCAAGTGACATCAGAATTTGACCAAGGCAACATCAGGTACCCTGGGCATCTCTATTCTTTCCCTGGAGGAGGTGGCTCTTATCACTAAAATATTTACTAGGTTTCTGCCACACAGCCATGCATACATTCATGCACCATAGTAGTAGTACTTTTAGTATTCATTAAAATAACGTGGTTACAAAGCTGGAGTGGAAAGAATAACAAATTTAAGTAAATTTTATGTATGTATGTATGTATGTATGTATTTTTGCGGTACCGGAGATCTAACTCACAACCTTGCGCTTGCCAGGCATGTGCTTATGCCACTGAGCTAAATCCCCGGCCCGTAAATTTAGTTTTTATTCAACCACATTGACAATCTGAAATACAGTGTTCATGTGTGTGGGACATTGGACTACAAAGAGCAACGTATTAATGGTGGATCTTTTGGGTGCTCCAGTACTGGGGCTTAGAGCTAGACAACTGTTACCCTTTAGTACACTCCCACTTATCCTTTTGGCCCCCTTCTCTGTCCATAAAAGAGAAGAGTTTGAAGAATGGTCTAAGAAGGCTAAAGATTAGGCCTCAGGACTCCCCATTTGCTACTCCTGCAACTCTTTTGGTGGAGGTTCCAGGAGGTGGGAGTGGGGAGAGGCAGGTGTGAGGGGAGGAGACATGGCACCTCAAAGACACCTGGAGCTACTCTTTATTTCTTTCAACAGAAGATGGAGA